ATTGAAGTCAGGTCGCCAGCATTCCATGGTCCCCTGAACAATGAGTTGGGAGTAACATCTGTGCATCGTTGGGTGTGGCATAAAAACAGGAAGTTTGAGAAGTTTGTCAAGATGGAAGTCTTACATAAAGCAACTTAAAAGGGCATTGTTTGTTGTTCTTTCTATTTTCCTATTCAGTCAATAGCAGAAGACACTTTCAAATCACGATTCTGGTGGAAAATGTCTTGAGTACTGGTTTATAATTATGTTCCTGTGAATTTCCATAAAGTCACGTATACTTATTTTTTTAGCCTAGAAGAAGTCCAGAGTGCTCTTCTGAACAAAGATAGGGACTGCTTTAGAATGAGTGAGGAAGTTGAACGAACCAGGTGTTTAGAATCTAAAACATTCCAAGAAAAGGAACAGCTGAGATCAAAGTTGGAAGAACTGTATGAAGAAAAGGAGAGAATGTCCAAGGTGCGTTTATTTGTTGGTTTTGTCCATGAGTTAACAGAACCAGAGAGTTAAGACATTTGTGACATTCTAGCACACCTGGAGATGTGTGATCGTAAGGGCTTGAAGCTGAACTCTGTTTCTTGCTTTCTGTGCTTTCGGAAGGCAGGGAATTACGTTAATGTAAATGAAAAACTAAAAGTGTATTTTCCATTCCCTGGGCTGATTTACCTGCAGGAGCTGGAAATGTTAAGGAAGCAGGTGGAATTTCTTGCTGAGGAAAACGGCAAGTTAGTTGGTCACCAAAACCTACAGCAGAAGATTCAGTATGTGGTACGACTGAAGAAGGAAAATGTCAGACTGACTGAGGTAAAGCAGGAGTATTGGTCTGAATAAATTCTTTCACGTTTTAAAGTGATCCATTAAAATTTTATTTGTTTTTGAAGCCTTGCTGTTATCAAGGAACTTAACTGGATTTAAAAATTCCAAGTTTGTGGGGGCTGGAGAAAGAGCACAGCGGGTAGGGTGCTTGCCATGTACACGACCGACCTGGGTTCAATTCCCAGCATCCCATATGGTCCCCTGAGCACCGCCAGGAGTAACTCCTGAGTGCAGAGCCAGGAGTAACCCCTTGTGCATCGCCAGGTGTGACCTAAAAAGGAAAAAAAAAAATTCCAAGTTTGAGTCAGAGATACACTTCAAATTCTTGTTAATGTTAAGTAGTTTAGAAATTGAAAGCTGCTGTGACTTTGAAAGATAAGTTTAATGAATGCTTACACGTAACTCTTCCTCTCTGCCTGTAAGAATTAGACCTAATTTTTCTTTCTTTTCCTTTTTTTAAAAAAATCACTCCTCAGGAGACAGAAAAGTTGCGTGCTGAAAATGTAATTTTAAAAGAAAAGAATAGAAATGAGCCATAGGATCATTATCAGCTCCGAGGTATCAGCCTGTTTGGAGAATTTCTTTCCTTCTTGTCAAAGGAAGACTTACTAATGCACTTACCAGCGCTGAATTATGGGCGGTGATCTGGCTGAGCAGAGTGGTCTCCCCTGATGGATGTCCTGCATCCCTGTCTGTACCTGTACTTTGTGGTAGCCAGCAGTGTGTTGAGAGGTGACTGCTCTATTTCAAGGCTGGAATCTGCTGTAAATATCGGGGAAAACTCTTTGCCTTTCAGATCAAAAGCCTTTATGTAGCTAAGGTTTACAGTGGATGTTGGCCAGGAATTTTGCCCTTAGATAGTATCGTGATCACCTTTGAACCTTGGATTAAAAGCTCTACATATGCTTCCTTCCAGAACTTGCAGAGAGATTAACTAATGCCTGATTGTGTAGCCTATAGGAAAAACAAACTTATTACTATGGCGTGTTTATGTGTTCCTACTTAGTGTTCCTACTTTGTGTTCATAAAAGTAGTCTTGTAAGCATTTTTTATGTTTGTAAATATGATCATTTTTTAAAATGTAAACATTTTTCAAAAAACAATAAAGTGAATTACTTTGTTCATTCATCTGATTGTCGTTTGTATACTGAGTAGCTGCAGCAAGCCAGGAGCTGATCATCAGTGAACAAAGCAAACCAAACCCCCTGCCCTCCAGGAACTTTGAGCACTTCCTGCCTTTTTGGTGAATAATTACCATAGTATGCATGTATGTGCCACATTCCATTAGCCTTTCTGTGGGCATTGGAACTCGGCTCTTAAGTATTGGTGTGTAGCATATGATGTGAAATATTTTCTATCCCCAAATAATCAGTGCAATCTTGTGTTTGGCTTCTTTCACTTAGCTCGTATCAGTTTGTCATTTTGTTGAATGAATCACTGTATCACTGTCTCTCTGTCATCCTGTTGTTCATCAATTTACTCGAGTGGGCGCCGGTAATGTCTCCATTTGTCCCAGCACTGAGGATTTTTTTTTTTTAGATTTTTATTAGTGAAACACCATGAGGTACAGTTGTAGACTTACAAACTTTTGTACTTGGGTTTCAGTTATACAATGATCAAATACCCATCCCTCCACCAGAGCCCATTTTCCACCACCACAGGTCCCAGTGTCCCTCCCACCCCCCATCCCCTCCATCCCCCCTGCCTCTGTGGTAGGGCATTCCCTTTTGTTCTCTCTCTCCTTTTGGGTGCTGTGGTTTACGAAAGAGGCACTGAGTGGCCACAATCATGTTTGGTCTATAGTCTACTTTAAGCATGCATCTCCCATCCTGGGAGGATCCGCCCAACACCCTTTATTTGGTGCTCCCTTCTCTATCTGAGCTGCCTTTTCCACTAACATGTGAGGCTGGCCTCCAAGCCATGGAGTAAACCTCCTGTTACTTATCTCAACTATTCTTGGGTGTTAGTCTCCTATTTTGTTACTGCGGGGGTCCCACTAACCACTCTCCGGCCCACGGAGGTGGCCCAAAGATTGATCCAATGGTGCAAGGAGGGACCATTCGAATGAACACAAGAGACAGAGTACAGTTTAGAAACAGAAAAAGGGACAGGCTTTATTGAGGGATACAGGCTGTTTATATAGGGTCTGGGATAGCCCAATCACAAGCAGAAGCAATATAACCATACATGGTAAGGTTAGCAACAAGAGTTTTACATAGCATTCAAGGTAAACATTTGTATATCAAAGGGTGTTATGGTAGTAGATGCATCCTGGAGGTCACTGTGGATAAGGCCAGATAAGATAACTGTCAGCCTGATGTATGTGGCTATGGATCAGGCATCCGCTGAGGTCAGGAAGTCCCTGGGAGACTGTCACCAATGTCCCTAACATGGGAACCACGGCCAGGGTCTATGAGAGGGCTCTTGGCTTCCCACATGTTACTTTATGTTCCCCAGATGAATGCAATCTTTCTATGTCTGTCCCTCTATCTGACTTATTTTGCTTAGCATGATACTTTCCGTGTAGTAACACTTGTATGTAAATTTCATGACTTCATCTTTTCTAACAGCTACATAGTACTCCATTGTGTAGATGTAGGAAAGTTTCTTTAGCCAGTCATCTGTTCTTGGGCACTCAGGTTTTTTTTCCAAATTCTGGCTGTTGTAAACAGTGCTGCAATGAACAAAAAAGTGCAGATGTCATGTCAGCTATACTTTTTTGCCTCTCTGGGATATATTCCCAGGAGTGGTATTGCTGGGTCAAATGAGAGCTCAATTTCTAATTTTTTGAGAATAGTCCATGCTGTTTTCCAAAAGGGCTGAACCAGTCGGCATTCCCACCAGCAGTGAAGGAGGGTCCCTTTCCTGCCACATTCGCGCCGACACTGGTTGCTTTTGTTCTTTTGGATGTGGGCTGGTCTCTGTGGTGTGAGGTGATATCTAGCCCTGAGATTTTAACAGCCTCTCCTTACTGTCTTTCTCAGCATTGCTGTATTGGAGGCTCTTTCAGGGTCAGGGGAATGAGACCCATTATTGTTACTATTTTTGGCATGTTGAAAATGCCACGGGCAGCTTGTCAGGCTCTGCCATGTTGTTGAATGATATTTCTTTAAAATGCAGAAATAGTTACCATTGATCATTAGGAAAAAGTGGCTTGGCTAATTATAGTTAGAAATGAAATTGTTGGTTGTTTGATAAGGATAAAAAATGACAATATAGCACAAGGAAACTTTCAATAGATGGATGAAAATATTTTATTTTTTGTTGTTTTTTGGCCACACTTGGCTCAGGGATTACTCCTGCCTTTGCACTTAGCAGTCACCCCTGACGGTGCTCAGGAAACCATATAGGATGCTGGGGATTGAACCCCTGTCAGCTGTGTGCAAGGCAAGCACCCTGCCCTATGTACTCTATCTCTGGTCCCAAGTGGAAATGTTTTAAATCCAGTTTATGGTGATAATTATACAACTATAAATAGTAAAAAGTATTTAAATTTTAAACGGGTTGATTTTATGGCTTATAAAGTCAAAGAACATTTTCTTTTGTCTTGGGCAGTGTTCAGGACTTACTCTTAGCTCTGTCCTCACAGGTAACTCCTGGTGGGGCTAGGGAGACCATAAGTGGTGCCAGGAATCCAACCTTACCCACAGGATGATCGCTCTGCCTCAGAAATCTATTTTCGTATTATATTTCCTCCAGTGAACTTTGTGGCTTTTGTGGAAGCACCAACTAGATCTTCCCACGGAATCCGGAGGTGTCCAGCACCCTGTTGTCAAGGCACTTTCCCATTGAAAGGTGCAGCTTGGGCTACTTTGGTCATTTTAAATTTTGATGCGATGAGCTCAGGGCCTGGGAATCGGCATTTTTAACAAGTTCCGGGTGTGGGGCCAGAACTAATGCCACCAGGCGGTAAGGAATGATTGAAAGTTCTGACACTTGACAACAACCACAGTGCTATGGCGCTAGCCTCAGCCCTCTCCCATACCCCTTTGAGCTCCAGGGTGTCCAGCCCAAGCCTAAACCTGGGGGCGTGGCTCTTACAGCCCCGCCTTTGCCCCGCCCTGGCGGCGTCTGATTGGCCGCCTGGGTCACGTGCGCACCATGTCACGTGAGGCCGTCGCCCACTCGCGGCGCGCGTTCGGCCCGGGAGCTCTTGGGTTCCACGGCGTCCCGTCGGCGGTCACAGTATGGCCGAGCCCCCTAGTTCCCCGGGGACTGCGCGCTGCTTTCCCGAAGCTCACGCCGACTTCCCCGCACACCTGCAGGCCGGCGCGATGCGGCGCCGCTTCTGGGGCGTGTTCAACTGCATGTGCGCGGGCGCTTTCGGGGCCCTGGCCGCCGCCGCCGCCAAGCTGGCCTTCAGCCGCGAGGTGGAGCCCGGGGCGCGGCTGCGGGGCGGTGGGGGGCGGAGGGCGGGCGGTGGGCCGGGAGGGCAAGGGGCGCTGCGGGCCTGCAGGTGAGGAGGGCTGGGGGTGCTCGGTGCTGCCCGCACCCTCGCCGCCGCTGTCAGCAGGGGCGGGAGAGCTTTCGTCCCCCCTAAGTCACCTCATACCCTCATCCGCTGGAGGCGGTAAGAGACATCTGCGACTGAGGCCCGGGATCCCAAAGATGTGCTCTGATTGGGCTCTCGGGGAAGACCCCCCACACACACCAGCTCACTTCTCGCCATGTGACCCCAAGTCATTAAAGGGTGTTTTGACCGGCCTACCTTCTTGTCGGCAACACACTTCGGGATACCCTGAAGACAAAGGAAGATACTGTAACGTTTCCAACATCCCCCTGGCTCTGGGAACATTTAGCTATCTCCCCCAGATCTGCTTGGGGGTACCTCTTTGTTTCTTCCATGCCGAGTTGTGGGTTCCCTTTGGCCTGCTGAAGTGGTTTTCTTGTATGTGCAATCTAGGGTGGAATCCTGATCGGACAATCTGATTATTTAGGTGTGATTAAGCATCCTGAGCCCAATCCAGCGAAAGCTGCCATGCTGGAGGTTAGTGTATTGGGGGAAGTAAAATAGTCCATGACAGACTGTGAGCCAGGAGGTTTTCAAGCATGTTCAGTTGTGCACCAGGCTTGCAGGAGTCCATAAGCAGGCAGCTCCTGGTGCAGTGATGCTCGTGTGTACATCATTTGGCTGCTGGAAAACTATAGGGTTAGGAGTTGGATGTTTAGATAGGTGCCCTCCTTTCCCTACCACCTGCGTGGTCTGCCTAGAGTTAAGCAGCCCTGCCCCAACTAGATTTCTCTCTTTTGGGAGGTCAAACCTGGTGGTGCTCTGGGCTTCCTTCTGGCTTTGAGCTCAGGGATCATGTTTGGAGGATCATATGAGATGCCCAGATTTGATCCCAGTTGGGGCTTGTGCAGGGCATGCATCCTCCCTACCCAATGCACTATCACTCCAACCCCTCAAGCAGATTTCTAACTGGAAACCAAATAAGGGTTTGTTGCATTTGTTTCATGTAGAAGACTTTAAAGATGCCCTCTTCGGCTGGAGCATAGTAGCAAGAAGACCCTTTGCCTTGCATGCAACACACCTGGATTCAGTCCCCTGAGCATCACCGGCAGTGATCTCTGAGTGTAGAGCCAGTAGTAAACCTGAGCACCAGCAGGTGTGTCCCTCACTCTTCTGGACCTCAGAGATAGTACAGGGGTTAAGGTACATGCTATGCATGTGGCAGATCCTGGTTCTATCCCTGGCACCACATGGGAGCTCCTGAGCACCACTGAGGTGGACTAGTTAATCCCTGACGCCGCAGAACCTCAGCAATACAGCGTCTCCAGGTCCATGTACTTAGCTGCAGTCCCAGTTGGCTGAGAATCACAGGTAGAGCCCTGGGCCTCCTGAGCACCATGTGGGAGTGCCATCCCCCCTTCCCCTCAGGCACCCAGATCTCTTCTCTCACCTTTTAAAAAGGAAGCAAAGTGCATGTTCTCAAGCAGTGCCTGGGACCACTAGCAAATAGCCTCCGATGGTGAGTTCCCAGGGCAGAGCCTCCCCTAGGTAGCAGCTGGTGCCACGCTCCCTGGATTCCTGCCGTGGTAGCTCCCACCAGCAGTGTCACCGTAAGCAAGTTTCTGAATGCTGGGGATGCTGTATCTGTACATTGAACCTAAGGAATAAACACGAAATCTCCTAGAACACGGAATAGGCCAGAGAGTGGTCAGTAGGCCACACGCTGTGCATGCAGGAGGCTGAGTGTCCATCTCTGGCACTGCATGGTCTCCTGAGCACTGCTGGGAGTAACCCCCAAACACAGCTGGGTATGGCCCTCCTGCACCTCGCTCCAGAAAAGAGAGCACCAAGCCTGAGTCAGAGCAAAAACTCAAGAACGCCCAGCACAACTATTTGCTGCCCGGAAGGGGGCCAGGGCTCAGTCAGGCTCTCATGCCACCAGGAAGGCAGGGCTCTGCCCCAATGTACCTAAACCTTAGACCCAGAACAGGCTGACTCTGGTGGGACCCAAACATGACAGGGCTTCAACTACAAGGACTGGCTGGGGGTTTAACATTCTGTTTCTGGCCCTGCCCGCTGCCAGCCTGATGTCAGAGCCTGGTTTCCTTCCTTCATTCCTGCTAGACTTGCTGTGCTGCCCATAGAGGCTTAGGCAGTCCTTTGCCAGGTGAAGCTGTGGGGTGCCACCAGCCTGCAGTGGGGTCTCAGTGGGGCTCGTGGAGGGTTGGGGATATGGCTCAGCCAGGTATGGCTGCAGTGACCGTTCCTCCTGCAGGCCAGCCTGGCCTTCTCCGTCTTTGCCATCATCATGATGGGGGCCACCAACACGCTGATGTGGACGTTCTTTAACCGTGGTCTCACCTTCTCCATGTCTTCAGCTGTGGCATCTGTCACCGTGACCTTCTCCAACATCCTCAGCTCGGTGAGTGACCGGAGAGCCCAGTCCTAAGACCTGAGTTTGGGTGGGGTGGGAGCCTGAGTAAAATGAAGGCCAGGCTCTGATCCCGGCAGGCACGAACAGGGAGGCCTTGTCATAGGGAGTGCGGAGGTCACTGCTACTCTTTCCATGGGGTGTCAGGACTCCAGATCAGAGAGGTGAGGGTCTTCTCAGGGGCAGCCTGAAGTCTCCAAGCCAGTTGGGGCGGGAGTTGGTGGTGAATTAGTGAATGCCATCCCCAGCTGCTTTGGAGGTGAGGAAGGGACTGCTCCCGTTTCTGCAGGTGAGACAGAGGGACTTGTCAAAGGTGGCAGCTGGGATTCACATCTGGGACTTCTGGTCTCCCTTGAGGGGGAATCTGTGGTTGGGGCGATGGGTGGGGTGCGCCCCCATTTCACAGCCTTTCTGTCCTGCAGGCCTTCCTGGGCTACATGTTGTATGGAGAGTGCCAGAAGGTGCTGTGGTGGGGGGGCGTGTTTCTCATTCTCTGCGGACTCACCCTGATCCATCGAATCCTCCCACCCACCCCTGAGGACTCAATACACAAGAGGAAGTAGTAGCAGCTGGTGGATGAGGGACCCTTTGGAGGGACCCCAGTGCTGACTCTGGCTGGGACAGGCTTCCTGGGGGTGCAACCTATGGCTGTCAGAAGAGGGAGATGCCACCCAGCCCTGGGAAAGCAGCTTCGGAGTGGACCACACTGTCACCACCCTGTCACCAGCCACATCAGCCTCAGCGTCCTGCCAGAACCTTCCAGAGACAACTGGACGGTGCTCCTGATCCTCCTGTTCTCAGGCTGGAAGAGCGCTGGGAATCTGCGGGGTCACTTTGCTTCGCCTATGGTGCTGGTCCTGTTGGCTGACAGGTGGTTCCCAGGATGTGATGCGCCCCGTGCTGTGCTCCCCGACTGCCCGCTCATGTGGTCCTCGCACACACATGTGCTGAGTCCGGAGCCGGAAAACTGGATGAGTAAATGCCTTTTTGTAAGTTAAAGCTACCCGGTGTGGAATCTTAGTTCTTTCCTTTTGGGATCAGAGCCTGGGGGCTTCCCTCAGCACTCCTGGGGGTGGGGGGGAGCAGAGGGTCACATCCAGTCCGCCTCCCTTCTGCCTCTCTGTCTTCTGCTCCTGGTGGCCCAGTGGACAGACAAGTGCCACACCATCGCTGCTGCCTGGAGCTGACCTTCAGCCTCCCGGCACCTCTTTCCTGCCGCTTCAGCCTCTACACCCCCAGCCATGCTGGAGTCAACCCCAACAGCCTCATCTCCCCAGTTCTCCCTCCCGATTTCACCTGGAATTTCTGTGAAGCAGTTAGACACAGTCTTCCAAGGTGAAATCTTCCCTTAAGTCTGCTAACTATGATGGGATCAGAGGGGTAGTTCAGAGGGTAGGCGCTTGCCTTGCATGTGGCCGACCTGGGTTTGATCTCTAGCATCCTTTATGGTTTCCTGAGCCCACCAGAAGTGATTCCTGAGCTAATAGCCAGGAGTCAGGGCTAGGAAACCGTGAGGGCCCTGGGATGGCAGGAAGTCACACTGAGGCTGTCATTTCTGTTTGAGGGCCACACCTGGCAGTGCTCAGGGCTTACACCTGACCCCATGCTCAGGAATGTGCGGTTTCTTACCAGGCTTGAGTAGCCCAAGGAAAACTTAGCAGGTTACTGTTTCCTCTGACCAGAGTTAGTGTGCAGGCACGTCAACTGTGAAGGTTGGGAAGAGGCAGAATCAGAAGCAGCAGGTCTGGGTGGAGGGAACAGGGAGAGCAGGAGCAGGTGCTGCCATGACCCGGTCCACAGGCCTATTGGAAGGTGGATCCAGTGGGACCTTCTGATTCAGAGGAGCATGTGTGTGGTCTTCAACTCCTGGTGCTGAAAGGTTCACTCAAGTGACGCCTGCCAGTTTAGATAAAATACCCCCTACTGTCATGCCCCTCACCATTGTCCCCCCAACTGGCTCCTCCTCCCAACCCTCACCAGGTCTGCCTCCCTGAGCCTGGGGCCCAGTCGCCCACATCTGTCAAAAGTCCCCCAGTGCATTTCAGGGCACCTCCAAAACCTCCAGCATCAGGGTCCTGCCAGGGAGGCCGACCCAGCTCCCCTCCCCACAGCACTTTTGGGGTAGACACATCTGTGCCTCCCCTCCCCTCCCCCCAGTATGGTGCCATCCAGTGAAACCAGACCCAGAGAGTGCCCAAATACATTTCTGATAGAGGGAACAATCTTTGAGAATTCTCATCTCCAAAAGAGCCTGTCCCAAGGCTGCAGAGTCAACAGTTCTTATGTGGGGAATTCTCTCTCAGCTGATGAGATGTTGTTACCTCCCCTTTTTTTTCTTGGCTTTTTGGATCACACCTGGCAATGCACAGGGGTTACTCCTGGATCTGCACTCAGGAGTTACTCCTGGCGGTGCTCAGGGGACCATATGAGATGCTGGGAATCGAATCCGGGTCGGCCGTGTGCAAGGCAAACACCCTACCTTCTGTGCTATCTCTCCAGCACCGAGATGTTGTTACCCCTTTGGTCGAAGATTATTGGGTCTGACAATCAGAGGGGAGAGGCAAGAGCCTGCCGAGTGAGGGAGAAGGCACTGAAGGTTGCCAGCCACGGCATTTGGACAGTCAGGACTGCCTCTTTCACAGTTAGGAAAACCCAGCCTAGGATGGACACATTGACAGACAGGCATGCATGCACTTGTATGCGCGCGCGCGCGCACACACACACACACACACACACACATGCATACACACACATGCACACTCAGTGCCTCCCAACTGGCATTAACACAAGTCATTCCAGGTGTGCCCTCCGGGAACTTGTCCAAATGATCAATATGCTTTCAGTTAAATCATTCCAGATGACTGTGTGGTCCCCCTGAGTCACTTCCTCTGCGTAGGTGGGGGGAATTGGGCCACATCCAGCTGTGCTCAGGAGTCACCCTTGGAGATACTCAGGGATCATATGAGGTGCCAGCCTCATGCAATGCAAACGCCCTACCCTGTATTCCCGCCCCTCTGCCCCCAGCTGTCCTGAACTCATTTTTCTTTGACAGATACACCTGGAAGTGCTCCAGGTGACCATAAGGTGCTGGGGTGAACTCAGGCCTCCCTTGAAAGCCTGTGCTCCATCCTGTTTAGCTGCCTCTCGGCCCTTTGTCCACTGACCAAGCTTCAAGTATTTTGTACTAGAACCACATGGGCCCTTGGGAGCCAGCTATCCTTTCCCGTGAGGGATGGACCCACTCCATTTGGGACTATTTGGGAAGTCCAGCCCTGTCCCTTGGGCAGAGTCTGAGATGGTTCTGATGGAGCTGCAATTGGAGATGGCCCAGAAAGGAGATTCAGTTGGTGAACCCCCCCACACCAGAAATGGGAGAAGAGGGCTTTAAGTGCTGTTGTCTGAGGTCCAATCAAGAACCGTTTATTTGGAGAAAGAGGCCATAGGTCTCTTGGCCCCTGAAGGCCGATTTGACATCAGAACAGAGCTAGACAGAGGCTGCTACTGGAGGTCACTAGGCCATCTGTGTATGACCTCCAGGGTCAGGGTAGATGGTCACTACCCACTGCCACACCCCAGTGTGGCCTAGTCTAGCCCCTCACAGACTGGGGGCTGCATGGTTGGGGTCTGGCCTGGGGCAGCATGGAATGGCCCGCGGGGGTAGAATACTCCCACCAGCCGCATTAAGGACAGAACCGGCTTTAGGTTGTGTTGGGGTGGGGGACCTCTGCCTTCAGCCCTTCCACTGTGCAGACATTTCTCTGGACCATGTGGCTTCATTCGCACCTGTGACGTCAGACATGGTCAGACTACGGGCACTGGGGACCCCCTTCCCTTACTCAAATGGTAGCTGTCTCAGGGTCTCCTGCTCCTTCCTGCATCGAGTCCCCACAAAGGCCCCCAGGTTAAGGCACAGGAGAAGGGCATGGTGCCCAGAACTCCGTTCTGGCATGGCGAGCAGCAACCGGCTGGGCAGACGGAGCCCTGACCAGCTCCTACACTTGCTAATAAACTCAGGCTGCTGAGGACCAAGGACCCGGGCCTTCCCCCGCCCAAGTGTGGGCTGTGCCTTCCGGGTGCTGTGGATGCTGGGGGGCTGTGGTCCATCTGTCCTGGGAGGGTTTGAGCCCCAAGCAAAGCTCCCATAGGGGTTTTGTGAATGTGGTGGTCTCTTGATCCCTGGGGGCCAAGGGGCCACCAGGGGAGACAGGTCTCCTGACAATCATGGCCCCTCAGAGAAGGCCCAAGATGTGAGTGAGTCCCACACCTCTGCCCAAACCTCCTGCTTCCCCAAGTGTCCAGACAGCCCCTGCAAGCACTGAGCTTCCCCAGCAAACTGGGGACATGAACCCCTTGGGCGAACCAGGGACATGGGCCCCTTGGAACAAGATCTGGGTCATCCTGGAGGGGCCTAAAACAGAGCTTGCACACCGGGCTGAGCCTTGGAGCTGAGCCCCAACTTCCAGGTAAACTGTGGGCCAGGGGCTGACCCAGATGGGACTGGGGACCCTGTTCCTCCTCCCTGGAACATGGACGTTCCTGCTGGACTCTGGCTGTTGCAGCCACTGGAACAAGCCTTGGGACTCTGAGATCCTCTGCTTAGGACTCAGTCATGGTCCTAGACACTCCCGGCTTTAAGCCTAAAGAGGGTGACTGGGACCAGGCTGCTCCTGCAGGGGGTGACTGCATGCACATGTGTATGGATGTAAGTATGAGAGTGCATGTGTGTACATGCACCTTCCTGATGCAGTCCTTGGGGCATGTGTGTATGTGTGTGTATGCACGCACACACACATATATCTATATATAGATATAGATAGATATATTCCTAGTGCAAGTCCTGGTGTGTGTGTGTGGGACTGTGTGAGTGTGTCTGGATGTAAAAGTGAGAGTGAATGTGTGTGCATACATCTTCCTGATGCAGATCCTGGGCGTGTGTGCGTGCAGTGCATGCGTGCAACCGCGTGTGTTTGTATGTGCCTTTGTGGTGCAGGTCCTGCTGTGTGTGTGTGTGTGTGTGTCTGTGTGTGTGTGTGTGTGAGATAGTGCTTGTATGTACATGCATCTTCCTGATGCAGGCCCTGGGATGTGTGTGTGTGTGTGTTTGTGTGTGTGCATGTATGTGCATAGTGCATATCTTCCTAGTGCAGGCCCAGGTATGTGTGTGACTGTGTGAATGCCTTCATGGTACAGGCCCTGCTGTGTGTGTGTGTCTGTGAGTGGGCACACGTGTGGGTGTGTGTTTGCTTGCAGGCCCTGGACAACCTGGTCCTTTCTCAGGCAAGGAGCAGGATTTCTAGAAAGTTCTGCTCTGCGGGTTGCCCTCTCCAGGAGGGAGAGCTAAGCTTCATAGTGGAGGTGGGAATGGTCAGAGTTGGAGCTGCTATAGACCGGCGGTCCCCAAACCCCCTGTCAGGGCAGGGCAGGGCAGCTCCACCATGTGGCTTGGGGAAGACCTGAGAACGGAACGGGAGCTGAAGCCATGCAGTCTCCTGGCCGACCGCGAGTCTGGGGGTGTCTGGGCCAGGCTAGGGTTCTCTCTCAAATCGGCCTGGACCAAATAGGGGGAGGTGAGGGGAGAGTGGGAGCCTCCCCTGGGGCACTGGATGCTCATTCTGCTTGTAGTGTGGTTGGTATCTGGTGATGTCCATGTCCCACCCCAGGTCCCTCAGGCCAGCCAGCCCGGTCCTTCCAGCAGAATGTCACAGCCTTGGGTCCCCAGCTTCCCAAGAGCAGAGAGACACCCGAGAATGGCCAGCTCTTTTGGGCATATGACTGAGGCTGTGCAGGCGGAGAAGGGGCTCGGCTGGGACAAGCCCCTGAGCTGGAAGACCCATCTGGTCTCTTCTAGAACTGCAGATGAGCCCCCTGCCCCATCTGCCCCTGTTGTCCCT